CATTGTGAACAGTAAGCCATATGCAATGAAAGATCACACCATATCACTACAAGAAATTTAGCTGCAATTACCTTTGTGATGAGACTAAGGTCCGGAGGGTATGCACCACCATTAGCAAACCGGGCTGCTTGCTCATTTGCATAAGGCTGTGGGAAGCGATCGCTCAGTTTACCAGGGCGGGTGAACATTTCACCCTCATCATTAGGACCATCAACTACCTCAATCTCAGCAGCCATTGCCTTTGTTTCCTCTTCAGTATAGGCCACGCCAACCAAATCACGGTACGAAATCAAGGACATGGAGTGACATGAGGCACAAACTTGCGTGTAAACTTGATGCCCGCGCCGAATTCTGTACAATAATATTTTTAAGATAAATTAGAGCAGCATACAAGAAAACAAGGTACTAGCACTTCAGTAAGATTTTTTCCTGGAAACAAGACAGCTAAATATTGACTTCAGCTTTTATTCTTAAATTAGTATGACATGTCATTTAAGAAATATATACCCCAGTACACAAAAAGGTTGTCAATTTCTGTGCAACAATCCACATTTCATAAATAAAACTTGCACGAATTTGTAAACACCAAGCCATGTCATATATCATAATAAAGATTCATGAAAAGGAGAGGATATGGTTGACTTACGATGCGTGATCATACGAGCTCATGATGCCAGCATGTGGCCAGGGATAATCTGGGGCTGCCAACCCATGCTCAGCTTCATCAGCAGATGCTATTGTAGCAAAACTAAAAAGACCAGAGGCACCAACTCCAAGAAGAGCCAATGCTCTCAGTCCAGCAGAGGACTCTTCATGCTTTCCTCGAAATGAAGAAAGCAGCGATGAACCCTGAAGAGCATGATAACAATGTAGAGACAACTGAGACCCACAGAAAAATGGTACTTGTCTAACCAACTCGGAAACATGCTCTTCTAGATAACAAATTGATTTCCGGAAGTACTAATTTTGATTCAGAATGGAGGACGACAGTAAAAACAGGATAAATAGTCAATGTCCAGCCAACAGAACTTTAAAATGTACCCATAACGTATGTTATCAGGTTCAAATCTATACAGTAGGAGAAGACAAAACTGAGAAGAGCCATACAAGAAACACATGCAGCAGTGATTTATCATCATCACTTGATGGAGATAGTGTAGATTCCAACAGGCTAAGCATGTTTACTATGATTTGTTTTTAAGCATGAGCAATAGATTCCAGTCAGATTCCATATTGTGATGGTATACCCAAGATGGATATGTGGAAATAAAAATCACATGATAAGAAGATTGAATATGGATGCAATTTAAAGAAACTAGCAAACAAACAAAGAGTTCACCAAAATACTTACAGCAGACTGGTTGTGGAGAGTTCTCTTCAGAAGCTGGTTAACGCCCCTTGCGGCAGCCATCGAGGATTCTGCAAATTCCAGTATGATGACTTAGTTACATAACGAAATGGTTTTGATACAACAATTACCAGGAGCACGTTTCAATCCCACTGACAAAGTGACAATAGTCGACCAATCTAGTGAATTCACTTGGAACAAAATCGCATTATTACCAGAACAAAATCAGGAGGCTTTGTTGCTAATTTCGTCAGTATAACACCCAAACCCGCAACAGATTAATAAGGCTAGATTTTGCATTCAAGGGATCATAGACAACGAGGAAATGGTTCTGCAGAACAAAACTAGCAACCTAGCGCGTCGTAACAAGCAAAACAAAAGGAAACAAACAGAAATCGACTCAGGTTGGGATGGACGGATCTCCAGCCCAGTGAAATGCAGAGGGACGACAACGACGACTTCGGTGAAGCACGCGAGATGAAGTGCCGGATGCCCACGATATGATTCGCACAGATCTAGCCGCCCGATTCCTACGGCCCCAAGAGGCCAATACCCGACCCAGGAGTCGTCCGCAACTACCGGAGGCTAGAGCAGATCACCAGATCGGAGACCCCAGATGCCTGAGAAGGGGACGAGCCAGCGGAAACCAAAGGGATCAGGGGCACGGAGCAGTTACCTGCAGGGCGCGGCGCGGGCGGAGACGCGGGGCTCCGGCGAGCGGCGGCGCGGGGAGGGAGGCGGAAGGAATGGGGTAGGAGGAGAGGGTGCGGGAGCGTGAGACGGGCTTTGTGGCGATGCCGATGCCGCGATGCGCCTCGGACCCGGCGGGGTTCCGGTCTTTGGGGGCGTCACACTGACACGTCGGGTCGCCTTGCTCCGTGGCTTCCGGATGGGCCACGTGGGCCCTTGGTAAGCGATTGCTTCTAGGCTTCTAGCCCTTGGAGGCCAAGGCCCTGTTCGGCTGGCTTGTTTGCATCTTGGCTATTTATTTTTCCTCTCACGTAATCATCACTGTTCACGCCCCGCCGTAACAGATTTTCTCTCACAACAATCGGTGTGAAACAGGGCCCAAGATGATTGTCATAGAGGCCCAAATGTTTAGAATTTTTCCCCGTTTAATAAATTTAATAATTTTTCCTCAAAAAAAATTTAAGAAAACAAAGTCGGCGCTTTAATACCAGCCGTCGATCGTGCTACCTGTCATCCACTTGTCATGGCGCTTTTTTTTATCCAAAAACGAGAGGCGCACCGTGCACCGGTGCAAGCGAGCGGCACATAGTTTCTTTTGCGCCTACCTGCAGTTCCCATCATCCTCTGCTCCTTCGTCGTGCTGCAGGTGCCGGACTGCTGCCGGGTGCCACCGAGCACCGCTCAATCAGCAATCACTCACAGTTGCTCGCTCGATCCATGCTGGCGCACCCGAACGGTGTGGTCCGGTCGTCGGCCAAGGAGCCGTTCTTCTCCTTCGGCGTCATCGCGGACGTGAAGTACGCCGACAACCCGGACCGGCGGTCTTTCCTCGGCGTGCCGCGCTACTACCGCCACAGCATCGCCGTGCTCCGGCGCGCGGTCCAGAGGTGGAACGGCGAGAAGAGCGTCAGGTTCTGCATCAACTTCGGCGACATAGTCGACGGCTTCTGCCCCAAGGACAGGTCGCTGGCCGCCGTGCAGGCGGTGGTGCGCGAGTTCGACAACTTCCGCGGCGGGCCGGCGTATCACATGCTCGGCAACCACTGCCTGTACAACCTGCCCCGGAGCGAGCTGGTGTCCGTGCTGCGGATGCCGTCGGCGTCGCCGGGGCGCGCGTACTACGACTTCTCGCCGTGGCCCGGGTACCGGTTCGCGGTGCTGGACGCGTACGACTTCAGCGCCGTGGGGTGGCCGCGCGACCACCCGGTGTCCTTTGCGGCGCGGCGGTTCCTGGAGAAGCGGAACCCGAACCACGACAAGAACAGCCCGAGCGGGCTGGCGGGCAAGGACCGGCGGTTCGTGATGTTCAACGGCGGCGTGGGCGACGCGCAGCTGCGGTGGCTGGACGGCGTCCTCCGCCGCGCGGCGCGGCGAGGAGAGAAGGCCGTCGTGTGCAGCCACCTGCCGGTGCACCCCGGCGCGGCGTCCCCGACGGGGCTCATGTGGAACTACGAGGAGGTGATGGACGTCGTGCGCCGCCACGGCGGATGCGTCGTCGCGTGCCTCTCCTGGCACGACCACAAGGGCGGGTACGCCGTGGACGACTGCGGCGTGCACCACCGCACGCTGGAGGCCGCGCTCGAGTGCCCGCCGGGCACCAACGCGTTCGGCCACGTCGAGGTGTACCCGGACCGGCTGAGGCTCGTTGGTTCGGACAGAATGGCCAGCACCGAGATGCTGCTCACCTCCTCGAATGAGCTAGCTTCTGCCTAGAACCTGCATTTTTCCGCACCTGCTTTAGTGCTTCTGCTTGTATGAACTAATGAACACCGATACTACTCTTGCTCTACTTCTGTCATCATCGTTAGCGTTTGTTTCTTCTAGTTTGTGGTGAACAGAGTGACAGCTGAATCATGGATGATACCAACGAACCTAACCAATGTACAATCTAAAACATGGGTCAATGGCACGACCCGTATCTTGGGCTGTATTTGGAACAACAATGCATAAAAATGACACATCTATTACTGTGTTGTCTTCTGTAAAATCTGTATAGCAACTGTCGTTTACGAAAAACACGGAATATGTCTTTTTGTGCGTTGAATATGTGGCTGTTTGTTGCTTATTATGAAAAAGAAAAATGCTAGTAAACTAGACAATACCGTCCACAGCATCCTCTAAAATAGCCGCGAAAGCCTAACAATCTCAGTGCAATGACAACTATATATGCAAGCTAATGAGTGATCAAAGAAGACTAACATAGTTTCACTAAGGGCCATGTTTGGATCGGCACCAATGGTGTAGCCAAGAGCCCAAGATTTATAGCTAGTGTGGTCCAATTTTCTATAAAGAGACCGCTATAAATCTTGTACGAGTGTTGGCTACCGGCCACCGAAGCCTGTTCGGCAGGCCGTAAACGATCGTGGATTATTTACTGCTGGCTGGTTTGGTGTGAGAGAAAAATACTGTTCCAGCTTATAATCCACGATCATATACGAGCAAGCGAACAGGCTGAATGCTCTTGCCTGTTTAGAGCTTAGCGGAGTACTCCCTCCGTCGCTCCGTCCTATAAAGAATGTCATTCTCACTTTTCGATAATTCAAACATTTTAGTTTTGAGTAACTATATATAAAAGAATTATAATATTTATAATGTATAGTTAGTATCATTAGATAAATTGTGAAATATATTTTTATAATAATTTTATTTAGCAAATGTCGTTTGAGAAAGTTTGTCCAACACGTATCGCTTTTTTCTGGGACGGATTGAGCAGCTGCTAAGGAAGAAAGGGTTAGGCAGAGGTCTACCGGTTGCTTGTAGAGCTGATGAAAAAAATTATGCCAAAGGGTACTAAACGCTTGTCTAGAATAAAAAAAATCATTTAGACCGGCCCAATTGAGAAGCCCAAACGCGGATATAAATGGAGGACCAACAACGGCATCATCGGCTTCGCAAAAACCTCACCGGCTCAAATCCATCCTTTCCTTATCCCCTCCCCATCCTCTCCCTTCCTTCCTTCGCCATGGCAACCATGTCCCTCCGCTGCCTCGCCATGGCCATGGCCGACACCGCGCTCCCTCCCGCCCACAAGCTCCTCCCCACGGTCTCCCTCCCGCTCCTCTCCTCCTCCACCCACGCCGCGCCGCTCCTCCTCCGCGCCAGCCGCCGCCTGCCGCTCGCGCCCCTCGTGGCCGCCTCCGACGCCGTCGAGGCGGGCGTCGAGTGGGCCGACGAGGAGGAGGAGGCCGGAGAAGCCTTCGACGAGGAGGCTGGGGAGGTTGAGGAGGAGGTGCTCGCCTCAGGCGACGAGGGTGAGGGGGAGTACGCCGCGGTCGAGCCGCCCGAGGAGGCCAAGGTCTACGTTGGGAACCTCCCCTACGACATCGACAGCGAGGGACTCGCGCAGCTCTTCGACCAGGCCGGCGTCGTCGAGGTCGCCGAGGTGAGCCGAACGCGCGTCACACATTCACACCCAAATTTCCTATTTATTGACTATGAGGTGCGACGTTCAGTTGGTTATAGTTGCTTGTTGTGCTTGGCGAAACCTAGAATCAGTATAGCCTGTGCTCATTGTGAGTTTGGCTCTCCAATTGCTTCCTGTAACTGAATACTGTTCAGTAAACGTTTGATTCTGTGTATGGACTGGTTGTGACTTGTTTGCTATGTGCACAACTGTACATTCATGTTGCCTTCATAATGCGGTGTTTCCCCCAGTATGCTGCTGTCATCGTATACCCATACGTCTTAGTCTATGGTACTACTTGTCAAATGTTCCTAGAAATTGCATTATTCTTTTAGGCTACTCTTGTTTTTAAGAAAATATTCTTGGAGTCAGTGAAATTTCTTCCATTGAGGTTGTAAGCTTGATAATGTTCTGTGCAATTTTAGGTTATTTACAACAGAGAGACTGGCCAGGGCCGTGGGTTTGGCTTTGTTACCATGAGCACTATTGAGGAAGCTGACAAAGCCATTGAGATGTTCAACCGCTATGTAAGCTCATTTCTGTCCTCTCGTTTCTCTATTCTTCTCCAAGTTAAAACAGAATTGTAATCCGCTAAATCTCAAAGCTCTCATCCTCTGCATTCCTTCATGTTGTGGATTAGCATGCTGTCATTATACATGGAAATTGAATTGCCTTGAGAGGTTCAGAATTTGAGATGACCATACATCTCATCTCATGGAGAAGAGGCAGTCCTGTTAGGCTCATCTCATTTTATCCAGTGGCTTAGATCAAAGGGGCACATTTGTCTACCACTTTAAAGCATGTAGACTATAGACATCCTCATATTTGATCATCAACTGCTTAATAAAATACACCTTTTAGCGCTATTTCTACACCTAGTAGAAAAGCACATATATGTCACAAATTGTGCTGAATAGATTACTAACCAACTTATTTTTCTATAGGACATTAGCGGGAGGCTTCTGAATGTAAACAGGGCATCTCCTAGGGGCACTCGCATGGAGAGACCTCCAAGACAATTTGCACCTGCTTTCAGAGCTTATGTTGGCAACTTGCCATGGCAAGTCGATGACTCTAGGCTGACGCAATTGTTCAGCGAGCATGGAGAAGTTGTTAATGCTACTGTTGTCTACGATAGAGAATCTGGGCGTTCACGAGGATTCGGTTTTGTAACAATGGTGTCAAAGGAGGAACTCGACGATGCTATTTCTGCCCTGGATGGACAGGTGAGGATAGTTTCAATTCTTAGCAGTGAAATACCAGTGCACAAGGTAAACATGGAAGCACTGAACTAACGTTAATTATCTTTTGAAATTAACCATAGGAATTGGACGGCCGCCCTCTTCGAGTGAATGTTGCAGCAGAGCGACCACAGAGGGGCTTTTGATGCGGTGGTACTAGAGATGGCTGCTTGTTTGTAATGAGCACGGAGACACAACGGAGGAGCAATGTTACAAATTAGCGGAAGCTGATGCTGTCACAAGTTGCTAGATCCCTCCCTTAGCTTCCTGATGTTTGGTTCTTGCCACATAGCTTTTTGATACTTCTCTTGGCAGCTGGACTTAATGTTTTTACTATTCTTGTCGACATCACGAGTTGAATTATCAAAGTAGGCTTCTATGTTCTATCCTGATATGCCTTGATCAGATTTTCATCGTGGCAAAAGATTTTCATTGTTGGTGAAACCATAGGAGCAAACCATACCCAGTGTGTAGCATTTACACTCAGCTGTCCTCGGCTGCTGTGTCTTATAGCATCAGAAATTCAGCATCATAGGAAGTGCAACAGCCTACCCTATTATAGCTCGAGTCCGGATGCATTACCAGCCAAATCGTTAAGATCACAAAAATTGAATGCCAGCTGTGGCTCTGACGAAACAACTTGCATAAGAACGCGGTGGCAACCGAACAGAAGCAAACGTTTCATGATGTGGCATCATTTACATTATTTCCAAGCCAGCGCACTACAGAGACAGTAGGGTTAATTAATATATTTACAACGGTAGCGATTCGATTGAATGCCTCACCCTGACTGGGTGAGGATAACATTTGACATGCTAGGGCAATCATCTTGCGTGCAACTGGGATTCCTTGCTAGTGAGGGGCACATATCGAACAGACGTTTCGTCTCTTATGCCGACCGTGCCATCCAACTTCTTGTCCACAACCTTCAGCTCCTGGAAGACTGTCCCGACAGGGATCACCATTCTGCCACCGGGCTTCAGCTGCTCAATCAGCGCCTCTGGGATCTGCGGTGCTGCAGCTCCAACATGGATGGCATCATAGGGTGCCAGCTCTGGCCAACCTTCCCTGCCATCTGCATCCATTTTGAACATCTGTTAGTGCATCAGGTGTTAAGGGTATATAGAACAACCAACAATGCTGAATGCACATGAGGCCAGAGTGCCAGACTAAGGAATACTAAAGCTGCTGCAAAATTCCTCATACAAGGACAAGAACCTCACAAATGGGGGAGATCCTCATGGTACGACAAGCAATATATCAAAACCTTGCTAGTAGGACACATGGAAGTATTGGACAACCTCATTAGCTGAATCAGGTTCCTTTATTCAATCAATAAAAGAAAAAGGAGAAGTGCTATGGAAATGATATTTTCATCTGAAACTATAACTCAGCTCACAGCAACTAAGTTGTTATATGTACACCTAAGTCAGCATTGAACCTGTTGGAAATTTGCTGCTTCAACATGGCTGAGTTTATGGTAGCACAAAACAAGCTAATATTTACCAGCAACGTGTATACTGAGGGATCCATCATTTAGATGTGGGGCTGCTGCGCTTTTCTTGATGTTTTCAATAGAAGTAGCAACCAATTCTGGGATATGTTCAACACCAACTGCTCGCCCTTCTGGTCCAACCATCAGCGCAAAGCAAGCAGTTAGGTATCCAGTGCCTGCAAAAAATATCAGAAACAAACAGACACAATGAGATTAACAACACAACAAACATAAAATATAGGGCCTGCTTGCTTCGTGGACTGGGATAACTGCCTGATGCAGGCGGCGCTCCTGGGAGTCTGATTTTGGACACCTGGGGCTAAATGGATCCGTCGCTGCCCAGTCCAGGTGCCCAAGCAAACAACCCCATAGAATCCAAGAGTATTTTCATCCACTATGAAGCTGGCAGCATCAACATTAATCACTTAGAGCTACATATCAGTTTGGAATAAATGAAAATATTATATAACCATGGATTGTATCTAAATATTCAAAGTTCAGGTAAATGGGAGGGTAATGATAAAAAATGGGGAGTTCTCCTCTCATGTATGCTGACACACAGCTCTGCATCTTCCAGCTTCAAAGTGTGTGCAAGTTGTGATTTGTGAAGGACATGTAGAAAGACAACTCCCTAGAACCTTTTGGACCAGATTACTAGGGAGGAAATCAGATTTACTGATGCAAGTAACAATCTGAAACCAATAAATTACTAGTATTTTTTCTTGAAACAAGAAGCAACTAAGGTATTAAAAAACTCTCAGCTGAGGAGCCAAAATACAACTAGAATTGACTGCGTTTTCTAAAACTACTTAGTCTCGACCACAGCATTGAGAGTCTTAACATAGCTGCCATGGAAGAAAACAAAATAATGCCTTGAGATTCGGGAGTCAGCATTAGCCAGCCATGTATAGTCGTCAAACTAGAACGAATACACAATAATTTACCTGACCCAACATCGAGAGCTCGCATTCCAGGCTGAAGGTTCTTCTCCAGGAGCTCCAGGCAAGCGGCGTGCATGTGTGGCGCCGATATTGTGGCATTGTACCCAATCGGCATGGGGCTATCATGGTACGGCGTGCCCCCAGGTGGCACGAACAATCCCCTGTCGATGGCCTCCATCACCTCCGTGACTTTGGTCGACCTGATGACCCCGTACCTCTGCAGCTGCTCAACCATGGACTTGTTCTTGTCGCTGGCCCCGCTGGACCACAGGCCGTGATGCTGCATCAGGAGGAGTAGCAGGAGGAACGAAATCAAATTGACCCTCTTGTGCATTCTCATCAATGCAATAAATGGGACGAACAAGACAGACTCTATGGTGGACAAGTGGACCGAAATCTGAAAATCATGGCTTATCAGACTCGTAAATCTTTGGAGTGTAATCCTATGTCTGTCGAACTACTTGTAATAGATACGCCGCAGAATTGTGGTCGGGTCGATTGCGGTTGGCACAGATTGGGAATGGGAGCGAACACAACCACACAAGCATCTGCCCGGAAATAGAAGTACCGTCACTAAGGCCGGGTTAGGGCTTATCGGTCGCAGGGTGGAACCAAACAGGGCAATCGCTACGCAATCCAGGAAGCAAGGCCGACGATTCGAAGCGATTGAGCAAAACTTACGGATTGGGCGCGGGCGCGGGTGCGGGAGCGGGAGGAGAAGCAAGAGAGGATGGAGCGGAGTACCTCCATGGTGATGGTGGCGGGGCTGGAGAGATGGCGCCTCGATTCTTCACTGGGGTTCGGGGTGAGACGCGGGACCACTTACGGCCGGCAGTTGAAGGTGGGTGGAGGCTGGAGGAATCGGCCGGAGAAGAGACGGAGGGGAAGGAAGAGGATTCGAGATGGCGCAGCGCAGGTGGGGACGACGAACCGAACTGGATGCCGCTGGTCGGCACTTGGCACAAGCACAAGCCACCGGAATCCGGGCAGTGAAGACTCTGAAAGCACGGCCCATCCCAATTACCAGCCCAACACGGCCCATACTGAGATTTCCAAGCTTACGGCTGGGATGGTGGGAAAAAAATCAGGCAGGATTTTATATGTAGTATTCGTAAAATTAATGCTTCCAAGTCTTAATAATGAGCGGATACAGTCATGTTTCAATTAATAACTAGCAAGATTGCTCGTGTATATAGCTAACCTTAGCTCCATGATGAATGTTAGAGGGGATTCAGGTGGTAGGGTGGGTAAATAAAGCCAAAAAAAAGTAGAGTTGTCAGTTGTGGTGACAGCAAACACACAATCACCAACAACTCTAACGTTTAAGTCGTAGAGATAACCAAATGTAACAAGCTGATGGTAGGATTAATCCCAAGCGGGCTTGGACTCAAATGGATAACCATGGTAGTGGACTAGTTTTTTGGGTTTCACAGTCGTCTATCCCTGCTTTGAGTAAAATAGACGAGCACTTTGCTTAGAGAAGCTAGAGCTTGCCAATTAATTGCCTTTTAGGTACAAAATGAATTAATTACCTTAATTTTTACATACGAAAAGGATTCAATTGACTAACAACAAGGTTCTTGAGTTCTTTGAACAGCCTTGACAGGTCTCTATAGCAAGCGCACATCAGCACTAAAATTGAGGCAAATGTAATCCTTAGGCGCCGTTCACGCGGCGTCACCTGGATCGGCTGGAAGTGTCTCACGGGGTTACTGTAGCACTTTCAGCCGGTTTCAGCCAGAACAGTGTTTCTCTCTCACACAACCAGCCGCTACAGTGTTTTTGGCTTCTTTTTTCAGACAAGCGAACGGGGCTAGAAACATATAGTTCTCTGATAATGAACTAACACAGCTTATTTCCAAAATGAGAAACGTCGCAGTTCAATATTTGAGTTGGTGAACAAACAGAAAATAAAATCAGAGATGTAATATGGCAGATGAAACATGTAATTTCATGTTTTGGACACTTGACAACTTTGACAAAGCTAGAAAGAATGAATAGGATAAGTTGATGGCCAAATGTATTCGAGAGTAAAAAAAGTAGATGGCTAACTCGGCTCTGACAAAACTGCCGCTCTATCCTAACCATAAGGATATTGCAATCAGTGAATAATCCTACTAAGAATTTTTATGGGCAAGGGTTAGGGTATCTTGCATGTACATCATTGATCTCAACAATAATTTCCTCAGGAAGATGGACTGTAGTTGCCTGAAGAACTTCATCAAGCTGCCACAATTTAGTCGCACCAAAAACAGCCGATGCCACAAGTGGATGTCTCAAGACAAATGCTGAATGCAACAGTAAGATAAGCAAAGGATCAGCAGAAATTGGTCAGAGAATGCAGCTTTATTACATCAAGCAAAATTGTTGAGAACAACTTACCAATCGCTAAGGTCACTGGAGAAATGCCATACTTTGCAGAAATTTGTGTGTATTCCTAAAATAAAAGAGGCTGTCATGTAAGCAGTTAAAAAAGGATTTTCCACATTCACATCATATAAATCATTTGCGCACCTTCACAGCTGCTCTCACTTTGGGGCTCTGCAGTTTGTATCGGGATTCGCCTTCAGAGTATCTCCCTACAAAGGAGGAACTCCACAGTGGAACAAAAACTAAAATGAAGAGAGCATTGGAACCAGACTATAAACCTTTTAAAAATTCAGAACACAGTACCTTTGAAAAGATTCATTCTTGCGTCTGGTGGACCACAGTTATCAGATGAGTGATACTTTCCTGAAAGTATACCCATTGCCATTGGGCTGTAAGCCAGCAAGCTGATTCTGCAAATACCATAGTTCAGCAATGGAAGTTCAGAAGAAAAAGAATTGTAAAGAATGAGTTTAAAACATAATACGATTTTGAAAATATCTTAATCAAGAGCAAATATGAGATGGCAATGCCTTTCTTTTTTAAAACTAAACGGATGTCAATATTTGTCAATATTCACTAGTATAAAAAGATAACTGAAGATAATAGTCAGTTACAGGGCTTTTGAACGTGTCAGGCAGGCTCAAGGTATACCTCTCATGATGGCAGCATTCTGCCAATCCAGAATCAAAATTTCGGCAGAGCAAGTTATATGAGTTCTGTAAAAACACAGGAGAAGAAATATGGAGAGTGATTACGGTACTATGAAATATGAATTAGATCAAACTGTGTGCTACTTACCTGCACTGTCAGTAGCTTTGGAAGCAGCTGAAAATCCTTACTCAACTGAAGAAACTTCATCAAACCATATGGTGTTTCATTGCTAAGGCCAATGTACCTGATCTAACACCAGCAATTCATAAATGTGCAGCCTGAACATTTTCATTAAAAATGGAAAGTTAAAAACAGCACCTCGACGACATACCTTGCCAGCATCTATTGCTCTCCCAAGAGCCTCAAGTTGTTCTTCCATTGGAACAGACGTGTACTGGCAGTTCAGATCATACTCTGTCTCGCCAAACATTGGAACATAACTGCAAGTAGAAAAAAAAATGGTGGTTAAGACCTCAGGGTGCAGAGACATGCAGTAAAATGAGAGGTAAGAACACAAGCTAAGTCAGACCGATCCGGCCAGTGTATCTGGTAGAGGTCGATGTAGTCCACACCGAGCCTGCGCAAACTGCACAAAATGAAAACGAACATGGCACACATTAGGCATGAACGAAAAGAGCCCACAGCCAACTATGCAACAACAATTTTATTTGAAATCGTCATTCGGGGTGACTATTTGTGCAGTTTGTATTGCAAATTTAGAGTGAGCCTGCCCTAGAGCAGAAGCGACAAGCTTTCGAACTAAATAATCAGTTCCTGAAGACACAACCAAACTAGCTACATCTGAGCACAAGAACAATGTGAAGTTTTGCAGAGCGAACACAGAACAAAAAAGTCTACCAATTGACCACCTGCCATCGATTGCCTCTGCGATGTTCCGCGAATCGAGAGATGTAGGCCCACCACGAATCCACGTCATCTGGCCAGAAGGCCCGGCAACCTGTCCTCCCAGCACAGCATCATCACCAAACAAAGCACCAAGTTTGAGTTCACCGCTGGTGTCCACAATACATACATACAACCGAAGTACTGGTAGAAGGGAAAGGGCAGGATCGTTGCACACCTTGGTTGCGACGACGACGCTATCCCGTGGGACCCGGCGGGCCCGCAACCAGCGGCCGAGGAGCTCCTCGCTCCGCCCGCGCGTCTCACTGCGCTGTGGGACCGGGTACCTGACAAGTAAACAGGTTTGCAGATGTGCAAACAGGCCGTCTCCACTCTCAAACCGAGGCGTTTTTCTCGGAAAAATAGAAGGAAATCGAGAGGGGGATGAGGGAGCAGGTGAGCCTACATCTCGGCGGAGTCGAAGAAGTTGACGCCGGCATCGTAGGCGGCGTCGAGGAGGCGCAGCGAGCACGCCGCCCCGCTCTGCTCTCCCATCGTCATCGTCCCTGCAAGAATTACTCACACGCACAAGCAGGAGTCATTCAGGCACAGTCCACCAGAGAGGGAGAGAGGGAGTTTGTGCTCGAACCGAAGCAGAGGCGGGAGACGGGCCGCAGGTCAGGAGCAAGGTGGAAGGTGGGCATGGCCATTCCTGTTTCCTCTGATGCTCTGCTCGGAGGAGGAAGATGCTAGTGCACCTGGCTAGGCCGCCTGGGCATCATCCATCCTATCCGTCCCTCTTCTCCCCTGTCAAGATTCATGTAGATCTGTCTGTGCTTTAAGATTCGCATACAGCTCTACCTTACGACTTCACGGATTGGGTTGGTGCGGGCGCGGGAGAAGCAAGAGAGGATGGAGCAGCGGAGTACCTCCATTCCATGGCGACGGCTGCCTCGAGCCTTTGGGGTTGGGGGTCGTTGGACCGTTTGACGAGGCCCGAGGGGAGAGGGCGAGTCCGCTTGCTGCCGCCGCCGCACTGAGACTGCCCGGTGGAGACTGGACTAGACCCTCTCTCTTTTTTTTTGAGCACAGAGACTACTGGAGAGAGATGCGGAGGATGGCGCACATGGGGATGCAGGCTCCCTGGAGGATGGATCGGCCCAGCCCAAGGAGGGGCCCGTTTATAGTTTTTATGGTGGCCCATGATGTTAGTAGTCGCAAAAAAAAAATATTTTTTAGTGAAGCAATCATATTTTTGTATACTCTCCTACTACAGTATATATATAGCAAAGTTGATGCTTCAAAGTTCTTGATAAATGCATACATAGTCTGATAGTCATATATATAGATCAATCAATATTACAATAGCTGAACGAAATGAAAGCTGCTGGTAGATCAACTCTCGACTGGTATTACATGGATGCACGGTGTATATGATGCGCGTGTGTACGTCATTCAGACGTTCACAGTCCGCGATGTTCCTGTCCGATCCGAGCATACATCGATCTGTAGCGTAGTGATTACTTTTAAGTTGTTTAATTAATAAGCGCTAGCTGTACTGTGCCTGTGCGCATGCAATTCAGAGCTCGTCGTGGCTGTCGCCGTCCTCGTCGCCGACGACGGCGCGGACCTTGGGGTTGGGCGAGGTCTTGACGGGGTAGGACGCCTCCATGGCGATGCCGCAGTGTCCCTCCTTGGCGGCCACGTCGCGCGCCATGCGGATGTACCCCTTCTCCCCCCACTCGGGGCCCCACGAGTTCTTCACCACCCAGTACTTGGTCCCGTCCGCGGTCACGCCGTACCCGACCGCCGTGACGCCGTGGTCCAGCTCCGTCCCGCACCTTCCGGAGAACACCCCCTCCGAGTAGAACTGGAAGTGCGAGCCGCTGGCCTCGATGGCCACCGACACGGGCTGGTGCGCCACCGCCTTCTTGAGCGCCGACTCGTCGTTGGCCGGCACGTCCTCGTACCCGTCGATGGTAACGACCGGCGCCGGCGACTTCTTGCACGACACCTGCCGCGCCTTGTACGGGTACGCGTCCTCCGCCGCCACCCCGCCGTGCTTGGCGATGTACTGGAACGCGTAGTCCATGAGCCCGCCGTCGCACCCGGCGTTCGCCTTGGTGTCGCAGTCCACCAGCTGCTGCTCCGACAGCGACGTCAGGTTCTTGGTCTTGATCGCGTTGATGCCCTCCACGGCGGCGATCGTCGAGAACGCCCAGCAGCTACCTGCGATTGCATTGGCAATTTGGCATTGGCATTGGCATGCATTACGATTGCTAGCTTTGTTGACAACGACATCTATACACACATACCGCACTGGCCCTGGTCCTTGACGTCGGTGACGGCGCCCTTCTGCCTCCAGTCGACGGAGGTGGGTAGGTCGCGCGCGCCGGCGTACACGAACGACGCACCTCCCTGCCTGTCGCCACGGAACATGCGGTGGTGCGCGACCCTGGACCCCGCGTAGTGGCGGCGGAACTCGTCGGCGTCATGTCGCCGAAGCGGTTGAGGCGGAGCTTGTACGGCTCGTCCCGCTGGTTGAAGTCGTGGATGAGGCGCACGTTCTCCTTGAAGACGTTGAAGCGGCGCGCCTTGTCGCCCAGGTCCCGCGCCACCGCGTGGCGGCCCCGCCAGCGCTCGTACAGCGCCCACAGCGCCTCCTCCGACGCCAGGTCCTCCGCCCCGAACTCGACAGCGGCCGCCGGCGCCGGCGCCGCGGCCAGCAGCGCGAGCGCCGCCGCCAGCATCAGGACGGCCGCGAGCGCCACCGCTCTCGCCATCTGCGTGCCTGGCTCACAACGTACACTGCTAGCTCGAATGGAACAGTACTAAGCTAAGCTGCTGATGCTACGACCCAAGGCTGGCTGGCTGGCTGGCTGTCTTTGTGTTTGTGACGAGGTATGGTAGCCATGGGGATGAGGAGGTCCTTATATAGTAGCGAGATGGAGATGCTTTGCTGCTTGGAACGAGGGATCAACGCAAGGAAGAGGATGACGTTGCTTGCGGGCAACAGTTTTGCCTTGGTTAAGTAATGAACAACGTACACATGAGAGTACGTACATGAGTACACAACCGTACCAGGAATGCAGGCGACCAACCGTAAGGAACTGCAGTTAATTGCGTTCTAATAGTGCAGGTACCGTCCATCCATGGGTACACCGTACACATACGTATTTACTCCATCAGCAGTGTTGACAATACAGACAGTAGTAGTTGATGCTGATTGGGTGTGCGGTGCCAGCAAGATTGGACGGCGGGAGATTAAACGCATGGCCGAGACAATGTCATCAGAGGGGATTGGCGTTCACGCCACGGCCATGTACAAAACCGGGTTCGATCGGTTCGTTTGTGGGCCGCACCATTGTTTCTGCCGCGCCGAACCACCACCGTCGACCGTCGTCGTCTATCATGAGCCAATAATTGCAGTGCTCAACAGCCATTTCACTATTTCAGGCAGGCAGTGATCTGGCCTCAGCTGGTCATCTCATCTCATCGCTGCACCGGCCGAATTGGAATTATTGGTCTTCATGCGGCATTGCCGCAGATAGACGTATCGATGGATGGTCATCAAGGGCTCAACCCCCCGGCCAGAATTGCAGCAGCAGAGCAAGGAAACTGTCATGCATAACATGGATTTGCTTGCCGCACCGCAACACCAGCAACTGAGCGCGGTGATGCCATGCCAGTTGCCAGGGCGCGCGGCGCCGCAGCCGCAGCAGTTGCACAGGCCCTGCTGGTCTTCCGTCGTCAGCCGGTTGCGACTGATATCATGACGCGTCGTCCTGCATCTTGTCAACAAGCAACTGCAAGCGTGCTGGCCTTCCCTATCTTATTATTACTATTACTTCGCTAGCTAATTAATAAACAAAAACTCCTATCCACTGCTCAGAGCGGGTGGTGGGATTAGGATAGATGGCGACCAGGAGGAGAGGACGATCCATCGATTAACTAGCTAGTAGCGCCAGGCTTTACGCATGAATGAAATGGACCGCATTAAACAGAGCTATACTAGCTAGGCAGATGTCGCATGCACCTGATAATCAAATTCATCAAATTCCAGCAGTTTCATTTCAGTAGACGGTTGCAGGATATACATATAAAACATAGAGTTCAACATTCGGAGATATGTTCTTAGAAGAACGTACTCCTTCTCTACTAAAAAATGAAGTCGTTTTAGATAGATTTTAGCAACATCGATGCTCGTATCATCCTTTTTTTTGCAACATATGTAACATAAGAGGACAATATCGCAACATATGTAGGATACTAGCCTGTTCGTTTGAACTTCTTATTAGTCATGTTACAATATTTTTCTCTCATAACAAAACAACATCAGTCGGCTTATCAGTTGCAGAAACCATCAGCCGAATAGGGCATAGGAGAATGCATGCATCAAATCAGATCTCGAAATCAATCTTTTTTCGCAAACATGTGCTGGAGCACAAGTTTTCATCAAGAGGCCTTTGAAAGCATCTAGGCCCCTAGTTTGGTTCGGTGATTAATGACGACACGAGATTACTATGACTAACGTATGTTTTGCAGAGAAAATTTGAGTTAGGTCATGGTAATGGAAATTGATTGGGCAATCATGGTTGTCATGTCCCTGTCGATGGAAATCGTTTCGATTTTCAAAGGATAGACGACAAGGTTAAGGACGAGCTAGTTCTAAGTGTCGTTTGGCGTTAGAGAGACCCTTAAAGTAGTTTAGGACTTCGTTTTTCCTTTGACCGTACTATTAAGGGTGGTATGGACTAATAGATTGATCTAGGTGAGTCTAATGGATTAGCTGTGGTGCACACGTGTCAATCTTAGCACTAGGTAGCTCAGGAATTGCCCTAAGATCGATAGAAGTCAACTTCATTCTTGATGGATTTCGAATTGAAAGTGAATGGATGGTCAAATGACTGACTAGACGCTGGTTTGGTTGTGACCAGACGCAGCGTGAAGAGTCCGGTCAGTTCATTTGATCAGCAGCAACAGTCATGTACTAACTGGACGCTAAACAGTACATGACCGGACGCTAGGGTGCTTGCGTCCGATCAACATCAGAGAGCATCCATAGGGGCATTTTGCTGACCGGACGCGTCCGGTGGGTGATGACTGGACGCAGGTCAGAGTCCGGTCAGAGCTAACGGCTCTCTCTGACACAGTGACGTGTAAACTGACCGGAGCGTCCAGTCACCCTGACCGACGCGTCCGATCACCCCAAAACTTGCTGAGTTGGCCTCTAACCATTATGTTTTGAATGAGGGGGTATAAATACTTATCCCACTTGTTCATAGGAGGTCTCTTGTCCAATTGTTTAGCTGTAAAACTCCTTTGAAGTGTAAGGGAGAGCAAGAGCCTAGTGTGGTGATTGAGAGTTGATAATTCAAGATTAAAGACATCACTAGTGCATAGGGAGTAGCAAGTGTGCATTCACCTTTCTCATTAAGCTTGTCTTGGTCAAGTGAGAGTTTGTGCTTATTACTCTTGGTGATCACCATCACCTAGACGGCTTGGTGGTGGTTGGGAGCTTGGTGATCATTTGGTGGAGCTTGTGGATGACCCAAGTCATGTTGTGAGCGGTTGTGGGCGATTTACCGTGACGGAGTGTCAAAGAATCAGTCTGTAGAGAGCACTTGACTCTTGCGTGGATCAAGGGGAGCTACACCCTTACGCGGGTGCTCCAACGAAGAATAGTGGGGAGTGACGACTCTCCAATACC